ATCAATGAGAATGATCCTGAGCTATTTAACTTTCATTTTGCAAATGTTGGATCAAGATTACAAAATCAGGCCCCCAATATTGAAAGAGTTAGTTTTACTGATTTTTTACCTCCTAGAACTTCTAATATCTCATTTGATAGATTCCAAGAAATAAATGAAACTGATATCCTAATGTATGTCGAAACGCTCAAGAATGACAAGGCCTCATATGACAATGTGCCTCTATTTTTACTTAAGCAAGCTGTACCACACATAGTTGAGCCACTGACCCACATTGTCAATCTGAGCCTTAATACAGGTGTTGTACCAACCCTTTGTAAAAAAGCTAGAGTAACTCCCATCCATAAGGCAGGAATGAAAGATGATCCTAATAATTATAGGCCAATATCCATCCTTCCACTTGTAGGAAAACTTATAGAATACTTTGTCGGCAAGCAACTCACTGATTACATGGAAGAGAACAAACTTTTCATCCGGCATCAATATGGCTTTCGGAAAAATCACTCCACAACTTATCTGATGTACGATCTGATGGACGAAATATATATGAGTAAATCTAAGTCTTATAAACCAGGAATCATCTTTCTTGATCTTAAGAAGGCCTTTGACACAGTGAATCATGAAATATTGCTTCAAAAATTGGCATATTATGGAATTGGTGGCATTGCTTTAACCTGGTTTAAGAACTTCTTATCTTGTAGATATCAATGCACTAGGATCAATGGCAATCTAAGCTCATTTTTAGAAGTTCTGAGTGGTGTACCACAAGGAAGCATCATTGGGCCTATATTATTTAGTATCTTCATAAATGACATCATTTATGCCTGTAACCTATCTAAGCCCTTTCTATTTGCAGATGATGGTGCACTATTCTTTGATCAAACCTGCAGAAGCACATTTATAAACATGAAAATAGAACTTATGACAATCTTTAAATGGCTCAGTGTTAATAAATTATCACTCAATGAAAAGAAGACTGAATTCCTATTGTTTGATTCTGTTGACCAACATGATGAAATAACCATTGATTGTAATGAGGTAACTTTCACAATCAAGGAGTGCAAAGAGACAAAATATCTTGGCCTCATTCTAGATAGTAAATTAAACTTCAAAAGCCATGTAGATTATATTATCAGGAAGGTCATGAAGAGAATTGGTGCCATGTATAGAAGTAAAGCACTGCTACCCATTAAATATAGGAAAATGTTTGCCAATGCACTCATGTTGCCACAATTCGATTATTTAGACACGATCTATTGTAGAGCTGGCAAGACAAAACTTGCTGAACTTGACACTCTGTACAAAAAGGTAGCCAAAATAGCTCTCAACGTTCCAAAAACAGAGAGCAGCCTTAATGTTTATAGAGACATGAAATGGTTACCACTCCATCTTAGACGACAACTCCATCTGTCAAATTATATGTTTAGAATCATCCATGACAATTGTCCTACAAACTTTATGAACAAATTTAGTTACATATCAGGAGGTAGTAGGAGCGGCGAAAGCTGCAACCTTTATGTCAATAGATCAACATCACATAAAAACTTTCAATACTTGGGGGCAAAATGTTGGAATAATGTTCCAACAGATCTACGAAATCTGCCCGATGTTAAAAGCTTTAGTGATTCGTATAAGAAACAGCTACTATCATCTATAACAACAGACCCTAATTATACCGTCGACAATTCATATGACAAATTTTACACTGCAATCATAGTCGCCGATAACTAAGTAACTTCTAATTCTTTTAAATCTGAGGCATATATAATTGATGTATCGAAAAGATATTCCCTTTTTTACCACCTTACCATTCTGATTGATTTTGCACATGACTGACATGTTTTAACTGGAGAAGGGGTTCCCACAGTGGTAGTTTTATAAACCACTTTTAATTTATTGACCTATTATACTTAGTGGTAGTTTTATAGACCACATTTAATTTATTAACTTATCATACTTAGTATTTTTTTTTGGTGACTGTATCACCCAGTTTTAACATTTGATAATTGTACAGTTTATTGACGACACATTGACTGAATGTTATTTTATATTCTAATTTATATTCTAGATATTTTATTTATTTTACAACAGACGACAACTTCCTGTTTTTTCTTCTATATTAGTTACTCATATCTCTTGTACAGACTTTTTTACAAGGACATTGACAAATGATACTCACATTAGGCATTCATTATTGCATCTAAATTATTTCACTTGCATTAGGCTTAGAAATTTATTCTCTGGTCAACAGATTTCAAATGTTTAATTAATTTGTAGTATGACAGTAAGGTATATAAGAAGTTATTTAATTTTGCTTGGGCTATTATATTGACTAGGTATTGAGGTTTAATGATGATATGGAATTTGAATTCTATATAAATTTACACTATGTGGTTGGGGCATTTTGCATAGTAAATATGGTTACTACTCATATATATCATATTATTTGATTGGTATTCGATTTCTGATTATTTCTCTAGGAATATGATTATTATATCTCAATTTGGCTTTAGGTAGGGTGCCCCGCTAAAAGAACTGGATTCTTCCAGGAAGCATCCCGTGCACAGAGCTTGGTCTACATATATATTAAATTATTAACCATTTATTCTGTATGTGCACGAAAATTTATTTCAATCAATGTTTAGAATTAGCAGATCCGCGCCGGTCTTAATCTTGTTTCAAGCAACAGATGTAGTAGAAGTTTAACTAAAATCAAGAATATCCAGAAGTCTTTTCTCCCGGAGCAAGTTATTCCATATTGGAACAAACTGTTAACTTTATAGGAATCACAAAGCAATGAAACACCAGTTAGTACTAAGCAATTATCAAAACCACACAGACAACATGTTTGTGGTACATTCTGAAATAGAACACAATTAGTATATTATTATAATGATTTGCACTATTCATTTATAAAATATCGTACAAGATATTCGAAATTTGAACTGTTTACAACGTTAATTTTTTTTCTTGTTATGTTTCTTGATATGTTTCTTAGTTGCAAATTCTTAATATTTCGACTTTTATTTCTTAAAAGCCAAACTGAGATACATAGCCAAACTGAGATACATAGCCAAGCTGAGATACATAGCCAAGCTGAGATACATAGCCAAGCTGAGATACATAGCCAAGCTGAGATACATAGCCAAGCTGAGATACATAGCCAAGCTGAGATACATAGCCAAGCTGAGATACATAGCCAAGCTGAGATACATAGCCAAGTCAAAGATAAATTTAAACTGACACTACCGTATCAGGGACAAAAGGAAATCGCGACATGTGCGGGATTGCGATTTTTCCCATTCTTTGCGACAAATTTTATATGTCGACTGTTTGGCTTATCGCAGTATCGCGATTTTTGGCCAGAATAATCGCGATTTTCTTTTGTCCCTGTACCGTATCGATGTATCTGTAATCTATTATATAATAATATATTTAATATTGCTCAGATTACAATTGGTCATGAAATTCCCCTGTACTGACTTTTTATTCCAGAACTAGTGTGATGTCTCTTACCATGTCTCTACGAAAAGCTCTTCAAACACTTCCTGCTCTTAGACACATGAGGTAATTGCAACATCTTACTTTACGTCCTCACCAAACATTTTAGGTATTTATTTTTGGAAAATCGCACTTCTGTAAGAATGATTTTATTAAATTCTGATAATATGAGCGCTGACGGCTGACCTTGAACCTGCAATAACACAGTAAGTCGGAATGATATGATTGTTAAGGTAGAAATCAACCAGTAGATCTTTCTCTCCTCTTGCAGGTAATATCGCAAGTCGCTGGATCCACTGCATTATTATATAATATATATAATGGCCTCCCTAGCTTGCCCCTTCAAATGCATGAAACAGTACTGCGCTCTTAGATATTGCACAATGTATTAGCATTTTGTTTACAGTTGCAAGCTGCAAACGCTGCACCCAAGTTATTAACTACGATATTATAGCCATTATAGAACAGCTTCCCAACATTGCTGCAATATGCTCAGTTATTTGCACCCCTTGCTTGAGAGAGACTGTAGGTATGTAGTTGGTTTCTATAAAAGAGACACGTTTTGAGTTCCATGCCTAAAAAATAATATACACCAAATATGGATTAATATATATCGATTCAGTCTGCAATTTACTTTTTAGCGCTGGTACCATGCGGCATTCTGCAAAGTGTTTTTTAATTTACTTGCTCCGGGAAAAATTAAGTAAAGTTTATTTTACAGTTTTTGAAGACGAAGTAGGTTTAAAGTATCCTTTTATTTAGTATACATTAAAAGTTTAAAGGTTAAAAGTGAAAATATATTATTAATTATTCATATCTTTACTCAGCACGGGATCTCAGGACCCGATAGCAGCCCTGTTCGCAGAGAAGCTGTCCCAATACAAGGCACTGGCAGTTGATAAGGGAGACATGGTTGACGTTAGCGAGAAGGACGTGGCCGAACAGCAGCTCCAGCTGGAACGTCTCAAGAAGATGTACATGGTATCGGGCGACGTGCAGTCCTTCCCTGAGGCTAAATTCTAGAATCTTCTCTGCTGTGTGTCATGTTGTAATTTATTGGCGAGATGCCAAGTGAGGAAAGTGGACTGTAGTGCAGCCAGCAAGGGGATCAGGTTTCAAAATATTTATCACGTTATCTTGAGGTGTTCTAGCTGGAATTTTGGTCATCATATTTTGTTCTGTAGGAAACTTACTTTCGTTGTTTGTTGGTAATACCTCATTTTTATTTCCATTACTTGTCTGATGCGATTAAGTCAATTTTTTTCCTAACTTATTTGTATAAATCACATTCGTAAGCTTATTAGGTTATTACGAATTTCATTGTTTTGAACGTGTATAAAAAGAAAGTCTGATCAAAGTTGACGCTCAAAATTTTGACATATTGACATTAGGAATCCAAATAACTCTAAATGTGATTGAAATGGACATGTAAAATGTAAATGTAGCGTGTAATATATTATTATTTCATTAATTAACGCTTTAATAATCTACGTAACTTTATTAAGCATGGAGGGGTTCTACACTGCCGAGACGTTGTTTCAGTTCGATGACCTGGACTTCAATGCCTCCAATACTATGGACAACCGTTAGTAAATCAATAAAATTATTAATAATTGGTAATTATATATGTACAGTGTACACTAATTATGTTTTTAACTTATTAAGATATGTACATTAATTGTATTGTTAACTAATTATCCATGCCTCCAATATTATGACTAACCGTCAGTACATATTTTGTATCGTAAACATTCGTTACAATAATCTTATTTTGAGTAGCACTCCAGTACCATTTATAATTTTACGTAATGACTTCTTCAGTTGGCTATTCCGTTTCAATGAATGTTTCCTGTGAGATATTATTAAAATTCCAAATGTTATCCTTTTCTTTGCAATAACTCATTATCATGGATATCAGCGATTTATCTCAATGTCCTTGACTACAAATCAAAAATAGGTAATTTCCTTGGAAAACATAGAAGTAAAACCATCCCCTCTCTCAGGTAAGATTGTGGCAGGAGCAGACACTGAAGAGGGACCGGACAAGTCCACAGTAGGTGATCTCATGATCAAGGAACCGGACCTCTTGACCCCTCCAACTACCACCAACATTGCTCTAGATAACAACAAGCACAGCGTCATCAACAACAACAACAACAGCAATAACAACAGCATTAGTAACACCCCTAACACACCAAGTGGCACGCCTATCACGGAACTGGATCACGTCACTAAGGCGAAGATCTTGGAACAGGTCGAATTTTACTTCAGCGACGCCAACGTCACCAAGGATAAGGAGCTCGCGAAGCAGATTCGTCGAAATGAAATGGGTTACGTATCAATAAAGTGGATCACGTCATTTCGCAAGATACAAGCTTTGACTCAAGATTGGAAAGCTGTTTCCAAGGTCCTGCAGGAGTCCACTCAGCTGAAAGTTTCGACGGATAAAAAGATGGTGCGTCGGAAGCACCCGATACCCAAGAAAAGTGACCAGTTTGCAGATAAAACAGTGATGGCCAGCAACTTGCCGCTCTCTGAACGTAGTGTTGATTGTGTGAAGGACTATTTTAAAGGATTTGGTCGGGTGACTCTGGTTAGGTTTTTGTCGCCAGGTAAACCGTACCCTGACGACATCACCAGTTTGCACTTACCAGGGTGGCGAGGCAGCCCCACCGCTGACATGGTTGCTGTGGAGTTTGAGACAGTGGAGGCGGCAGAGCTGGCTGTTCTGAAGCTGTCTGACAGTAACAACTGGAGGAGCTCCTCTCAAGTGCAGCTGTTGAGGACAAGACAGCAGAAACAGTTGGGTGCCGACAAGATAATGCATGGTCCCAAAGTAAGGAAGTCTTCAGAGCACTGTGCTATGGCGTACTCTCTGAACCACAGCACGGGCGTGCCACGTGACAGCAACGGGTATGGTATGGCAAAGAGTCTTCCAAAGCAAATGTTTGGAATGTCAATAAGTGGCACGTCACCCACTGCTGGCTCCTCGCCACAAAGTCACATCGTGAAACGCCCCGAGAAGTCTCCTCATTCCTACTCAAGCCGGTCCTCAGTCACGCGGTCTGGAACCGCAGGATCGTACAGCGACAGTTTCAGCTGCAGCCCCTCTGCTAATTCGTATCTGGGTCAGCGCCTTGCCCACGAGAAGAGTCACGCAAACGGCCCCGCCTTGATCGCAATGGTTTTGACTCGAGAACCTAGGGGTCCTGACGGGTCCAGGGGATTCGGACACCGTAATAACTGATAACGACAAATTCTTTTGTAGTTTAGGAGAAAACGCATGTTTTTATACGATTAAGAATTTGTAGGGCATTTTCGATTAAAAATGACGATTTATATGAACATATCCATCATGAACCATGTTATCAAATTGTTTGCAAGATTATTTGATTATGTTTCTGCCGCATTTTTACCAACAAAAAAACAGAAGACTGACTAATTGTCAAAAAATATGAAAAAGTAAGTATTTTCATTTCAAATCGTTCGAATAAACGCCAAAATTATTGTCACAATGTCGTACTTACACTGCGAGAAAAAGCAGATTGATTGTTTCAATTTTCAAAATGCTTAGAGTTTATTAAATTATTGCAGGCTTTTCAGATGTATCCCAATCTACTGTAGGTAATTTATTTAGAATTGTGATAGCAATTACCTTTTTGCAATGTTGAATATTTAAGAACAAATGCCATCATAATTATTCGAATTCGTGGATCAGTAAAACATTTGTGGCTAATTTTAATGCATTTTGTTACGAAAGGATCTTGACGTAAGGATTAACTGCTTCAAACGCAGAGTGCTTTTGAAAATATGTAATTTCGCGATCTTAAGATAATTTTCAAGAAGGACAGTGTACTATGTTGCCTGTAAATATGTGTTTTGAAAATAATTTCGTTTCATTTTACATAAACTCGTCTGGTTTTACGTGTCCTATGGTGATGACGATAAACTGTTTGAGATCTCTCGTATTGCTCGTTTTATTCGTTTTGTCGAATACAAAGGCCGACTGAAACGCGCACGGAAGTGTGCGCGCGCATTAATTATATTCATAATTAAACTGCCCTGCATGCATGCATGATCTGGTTAGCTTTAATATTGCCATGTCCATTGTCCTCCGCTTATTATCATGCATATGTGCACTTGGCAGAATTTTACGTAACAATATATTGCAAAGCATCGTTCTGATAGATATGGTAGTTAAAAATGCTACTTTTCTCCGAAAATAATGGAAGTAGTCCAAGATGTCTTGAAACAAAATCCATCGCGAGACGACCAACATAAACATCAGTTTCCTCTGAACCGTCGAAACCGTCTCTTTGATCGTTATGTCCAAAACAATTAAGGAGGCAGGGGGGTCTTTCTCTCGAAATTGTTTTTTATATAGTTAAGTTTCTGATAGAGGGGAATGATATCTATCAGTTGCTTTTGGCCCCATGGGAAAATATTTTGTTAGCCGAATTTATCGCCAGTCTAACTCTCTAAGGTTTACTTACTAACCACTAACTGGGCCGCGCTCAGCCTGTCATCCCACATTCCGCCGAATCTCTATTTATGAACATAAATAGGCCCACCTCTACGTACCCATGTCAATATGTTCATTATATGCAAGCCTCTTGATTATATAATAGCCTGAGGTCCCCAGGTAATCTAAAGTCAGCGCTCATGTCACATGTGTAATACTAATTGTATTGCGCGAGCGATTTTAAATTTTTTTGAAAACTGGCCACGGGCCTAAATATTACATATCAATCAATTACAATTCATTACATTACCAATATTAAAAACTGTCCAAAATATCTAAGAAAGTATTCTCTAGTATAGCCAAAGGGCTCAATATTTAAACATTAAATCTATTTTTTATTTTTAATTGCGTGCCCTGAGCTGAAAATCGAGTCTGAAAATCTATCTTCTCCTACATTTTTTGAGCAATCACATTGAAACTTGATTGACGGTGTCAACCCATCGAGATCGTTGCTCAACGATCAACGATCAACGATCAACGATCAACGATGCGAAGCAAGAATTATGCTAGTTCATAGTTTGCGCGGCGCGTCGAAGCGGCGAAGTCCTCCAACTTGAAACTTAGGCCTTAAAAAATTTTTAATTCGATTTTGAAAATCTTGGACCTCGCTTTTTGACGATTTTTCTTGTCATACGTTGTATGTCCCGCCGCGCACGAGTGCGCGGCTCCCCTGTATCGTAGAAACTATAGTGAAGCGACCGTTTTTTTCAAAATCGAATTCAAATTTTCTAAGGCCTATCTTAAAATTCTGATAGACCAGAATCTTGTAAATGGTCCTTAGTAGGTAGTGCGCCATCGACAGTGAGCCGCGCGTGCCGACTGTAGGATGGTTTTTTAGCGCTTATTTTCTTCAAACAAATAGATATTGAGTATTTTTCCCGACCTCCAATTGCAACAAAAATTGGTAAGCTTACTCATAGACTTACAAGGAAAGTGTCCGAAAAATTACAGCTAAAAGCAGCGTATTTTGCCCCATTTTGATTACTATATCAACTCCGATATCCACCAAATTTTTCGGACAGTTGTGAAAGCCCTATTGGAAGGTCGTCGCCAATTTCCAAAATGATCTCATTCAAGGAACTGGAGATATATCCGAATAATACGACAAAATGGTCAAATTTGGACGAATTTGGTAAAATTACGCGACTTTTACAGCTACTTTTGCTCCAAAAGCCGCGCACCATCAAATATGGCACCTAGGCAAAACTCACTGATCTTTCCAAAAAGGTATAACAAATTTGATATCGTGAAAATCCTCACAGTCTCTAGAAAACAGTGGTACAAAAATTTTTAAAATCCGAGCAAATTTATTTTTATCGTGCACCCCCTATCCTTATGCCTTAGAACATATCTTACAAGTTTCAAGGTGATTGCTCAAAAAATGTAGGAGAAGATAGATTTTTAGACTCGATTTTTAGGGCACGCGATTGAAAATCGCTCGCGCAATACATGCACAATACAATCACACATAAGCGCTGACTTTTGACAATTACTGAAGCTCCATGACCAAAAGCCGCGCGTTATTAAATATGGCATTTACAACCTAAGCGAAACTCTTTAAAGCGCGATGCACTACTGGGCCGCGCCGTGCATCCACTAATGCTTCTTGCAAGATCGGTAAAATGAACCATTGGGCCTTGCCGAGCTGCGAAGGATTAATATCTGATATATATATATTGTAAATTAACGAAACTCACAGATCATTCTAAAAAGGTATAACAAATTTGGTATTGACTATTGTGAAAAAGATTTGAATCACGTCGTGACTCCCATTTAGTCAGTTAAGTGTCAGTTAAATGTAATAAGCGCCAAGCGCGAGCACAAAACAATTTTCGCTAAAAATGCTACACGGCGCTTGTTCGCCGCGCGTGCTTTTTTCGCGCAAATTTTTAGTTTTTGGCCTATAGTATATAGAGGCTCTTACGGGCAAAAATACGTGTATTCTGCTACGAGTTTAGAGACCGAACCGCTAATTAGACACAATAGTATAATGTCTAAGGATCGATAATATGTTAAGAAGTATAAATTTGGCTTTATTAGTCACGTGCTATACCAATGCGCGTTTTAAACTTTGACAGTCTATTACTCTAAGGCAAATAGAGTAATCATATTCATATTTTGTCAGCAATAAGATCACATTATTTTCTATTTGGTGTGAAAGTATGAGCTAGAACGGACATAATCTCGCTGAGTTATAGCTGTTTGAAATTTATGATGAACGCGCGGGTGCCAATTGAGAACAACTAAATGCTTTTGCGCGTAGTGCGCGTCTAAAATTTGGCAAAAACGCTTGCGGAGTGACAATATTCAAACTTCGATCACAGTGCTGGCAAGCACGACCGGTGCATTTATTGTGGGTATACTATGTACCCCCTTTACTATTATACCCCCTTTACTATTATACCCCCTTTACTATTATACCCCCTTTGGTACACGTTACAAGCCTCTTTCGTGCACGCGAAGCGTGCACTCCGGCCGAAGGCGGCGGCCGAAGGCCGCCGCCTCCGGCAGGAGTTTTTCAGGCATTAAGACTCATCGGAAGTCGTTCAGCAGATTTATTTTTAGTTCAAAACATTCTAATTTGATGTCAAAGATGACAGGAATAAAAAATAGTTATGTTGAGATTTTAATAAGAAATTTGCATAAAATACTCGCCAGCACTGTTATACGAAATTTGGTAAAAAACCCAAAATCGCCATATTCAGGTGCCTTAAAAACCATGTTAAAATCGAGTTAGAGATCTGAAATTTTTCAGGGCGTCTAGATGTTGACCAAATTGACTGCAAAAAAAGTTTCAGGTTTCAGGAGCATCGGGAAATGGGTTTTCTAGAACCCCTGTTTTACGACAGATTGTCGGGACATATACATACAGATATACATACATATATATTCAGGGATAGACGCTTTGCCAGTCAATTGTAGCCTGTATTTAAGTGTCCATAGATCATACAGTTCCAGTTTTGCAGTTTCCCGTGCGTTGTAATTTTCAGCTCTCCTCTCTCTAATTGCAGCTCTCTCTATAATTAGAGAGAGAGCGCGACTTAGGGAGATTGATATTTTGGCTAGTTCAATAAAGTTATAGACCCCGTCCCCTATACCTTGGATGGAAACGATATACCAGCATGCAGCAAGCAGCACACTCAAGGCAGCTCAGCCCTACTTCAACTCCGATTATACCGACGCAACTTCGATTACACCAACGTAACGGAAACATCACGTTGTCAGATCAGGGTTTGGCGTATCACTTCATTAATAAACCCATCTGCTATTCCTTTTGCGCTTAAGTTTTAATATGTCTTTACTTACGTAAGTTTTAATATGACTTTACTACTTACGTAACGATCTATTATGACTTTACTTACGTCTTCAACGTTCTTTTATTTGCAATCTTTCATCTTCAATAGCATTTCAACTAAAGCATTTTCTCTAAAGCTGGTAACCTGCCACTCTTTAACTAATTATTAACCATGATCCTCTTCTAAGTTTTTAGCTTTTACTTTATAAATTCATCTACTATTTCTCTGCGCTGAAGTTTTATTATGACTTTACTCATGCCATCACCTTTCTTTTATCTGTCATCTAACATTTTCATCAGCACCCTTCTCATCAGCTGGTAACCTGCTACTCCTTTAAGTTTTAACATATGGATATACTTCTAATTTAGATTCTGTTTTGGTCACTTATTTTACAACTTAAGTCGGCAGAGTCTTATTGCCCGCGCATTTGCTTGCTTCAATTTTAGCCCCCTTTACTCTCGCTTGCGCTCCCCTTAGTGTCACAAACACTAGTGTAGGGCTCCTTTTCGACTGAGTCCTGTTTCCCTTGCTCATGCTCACTAGTTAGTGCCGTATTTTTGTTCACACACTCCCGCGCACGTAGCATTTTTTTTTACAGCTAGGCACTGGAAGATGACTTCATTTTGCACAGTGTAAACATTCAATCGAATAACAGCACAACTACGGTGCACATTAAAAACAATGTTAAATTAGGCCTTCTTTCGGACTTCTTCTCAGTGATTAAAGTGCTGCTACCTAGCCCTGCCTACCATTGAACTGTAATTCAAAACGTTCTTTTGATGTTGCCGTACTGCACTGATCTCTCCTCGTTCACTTGCCTGGCCAAGTGCAGTGTGGCGGCTCCTTAACTACTATTGTAGGCTTTGTGTGTTTATTTTAGGCCATATAAACTTGGCTGGACAGCTCTTGACCACCCATCACAGCATGCACCTCAACCTCTCCCACGTAACCTCCTTGTGGACCACTCTCTAGTAAACTCTTTACCACTATAATTATCCCACTATTACTGTTTTCCCCATTCTTCAATATATTCGGATCTCATATTGTGCACACTCTTTTAGTGATATGTTTCAATCTCCATTGCGACATGTT